GAGAGCTGGCCTGGAAGAGGGGCAACCGGGACTAGAAGCTGGAACCTGGCACCCACGTGGGATGCCGGCACTGCAGGCGGAGGATTAACCAAGAGAGCCACGGTGCCGGCCCCGAGGGAATGGGTTTCGTCACGTCTGTCCCAGGGAAGGGCTGCCTGCCGTGCAGGGCCAGGCTGGCTCAGGAGGGAAGTGATCACCCAGAGCCAGGTGGGCGTCCGAGTGCAGCTGTTTCCTTGTTGACTTCTGATGTGGCTTAGGGGTGGTAGCAAGGACAAAAGGTGCGGTGCTGGAGAGATCATTAGCGATGGACCCATCCTGGGGCTGGCGTCTGGGTTATTCAGGAAGCAGTGAGCTCCTGCTGTGTGCCCGGCACAGCACGAGGTGTGCAAGCCAAAGCAGCCACGCGGCACACACTGGGCCCTGGCGCTGTCACCGAACCTCTCTGCCTCTGTCCCTTCATCCATTCAGTGGGGATAATGGCCTTGTGGTCTGAGTGAGGAGGTAACGTATGCAAGGCAGTAAGCCAGGACCGGACACAGGGCTAGTGACCGGACACCCAACCCTGTGCCAGACCGCGCCAAAGGCCAAGTCCTGTGCTTTGGGGTGGGGTGAGCAGCGCCACAGGGCACGCACATCTGGCCCTCTAAGGCTCATTTTTCCGGCATGGCAAGCCTCACCCCTTTGTAAGTGGGCCGCTTGGCCTTCAGGTCTGTGCCAAGCCAGAGTCCAGGCAAAAAGTCCTCGGTGGGATGAAGCTTCCAGTCCACAGAGCAGCACCTGCACCAAGACGTCCCTCCAGGCAAGAGGGTTCTGCTGGAGGTCAGGAGACCCCGGCAGCTGCCTGGCGAGTAGTGGGCGTGGTCAGACCCCGGGGTGAGGTGCTACCGGAAGAGGACATGAGTGAGGGGGACGGGTGACCATGCTTAGCCCCTTTGCTCTCCAGCCAGGATGGGTTAGGTCAGCACGCCCTCTGCTGCTCAGGGCTGAGAATGCAGCCCGAGTGTCCTCAGATGCAGGTCCCAACAGTTCAGGGGTGATAAGAGACACAGGCCCACAGTCGCCTCCCGGGGAGCCCCTCTTACACAGAGCGTTGTGTGACACTGCAGGGGGCCCACAGACCCCTGGCTTCTCCCCCACACCTGATGCCTCTGAACTGCACGGAGGTCAAAAAGGACCTCAGCACCCTAGGTCTTGCCCCACGCGGCTCCGTCCCTGTGCCAGTGCCTCTCAGCAGTGGGAGCCACGCCAGGTTCCTGGGAGAAGGCACCGTAGTGTGGACACTGGAAAAGCTCAGTCATTTCCCAAAAAACGGAAAACCGCTCCAAGACCCAGCACTTGTCCTGGGTGTGTAGCCAAGGGAAGTGGGATCACACACCCACGAAGACAGGCTCACAGCCGCCTCAGTCAGTGGACGGAGCTGAGACCACACGCGCCCCTCGGAGGGCGGCTGGCGGGGACCGCCCACAGAGCGGGCGATGGCTTGGCAGTAGAAAGGAGGGAAGTACTGCTACGTCCTGCAGCGTGGATGAACCTCACCCGGACCGTGACCCCAAGCCGGCCACGAGGACCGTGTGCTAGAGGACGCTTATGCACGCTGGAGGGGACGCCCAGGAAGTAGGAAAAGCAGGCGGGACAAGGTGAGACGCTCAGAGGAAAACAGGGAGAGAAACCCTCCTTCTGCAGCCTGCCAGACCTCCCAGAGCTGGCGCTGCACTGGCCGAGGCCGCGCCGGCCGCGCAGAAGTGCGGTGTGCGCCTCCCCGCCCAGATCAGCCAGGTGCGCAGGGCAGCTCAGAGCTGGGGCTTCCGGCTGTGTGAACGTCCACACATCAAAACAGGGTGCAGGTGCCCTACCTGTCGGGGAAGACGTGCTTACGCTTGTCCCAAAACGAGGATCCGCTGGATGCTAACAGCGCTGTGTAGACCCCTGGGCCATGCTAAGTACTCCTCAGACTGTCTCTCCTGACACTACAGTGAGCCTCCAGCGAGCATGTGTAAAGGGAAGACACGGGAAAGACTGGATACATACACGCGCCAAACACACACGCACGCACGCACGCACGCACGAGCAAGCCAGTGCGCACGGCACCGCAGCCCTCACTCCGTGCTTGCCCCGCCCTCTCCAGGTCTCCGCTAGGCGGCGCCCCAGCTCCCAGTTCAGCCAAGTCTTGATCCGTGGACCACCCGAGTCCCTGGTGGCCCTGCCGCTCCTTTTCCTAAGGCTGCCGTGGGCGCAGTCCTACATTTTACTACTGAGCCCGCAAGAGGCACCCAGAGAACCCCTGGGCTCGAGGTAGTCTGGATGTGTGGAGTCGGTCCCCCTGGGAATCAGGGTCACTTAGACCACCCACCGCAGAGAAAGGAGCCCAGCGTCCTGGCGAGCTCACCGCCGGTCACCAGAGCCACTGTGTCTCCTGTAGAATCAATTCCCCCAGTCAAAGCCTGCCCACCAGCAGAGCGGGTATGGCGATGGGAACCCGAATCCCTGCCAGTGAGTCGCTGTGTGTGGCAGCAGGAGCCAGCCCCACGCCCGCGCCTCGGGCCCCTGACCGAGGGACCCGGCTCTGCTCGCCTCTTGTATTGGTCAGCATTTCGGGGCTTTAACCAAATACCTCATGGAGACCCACGAGGCAGGGACACAGGGAGCAGCCTCTGTGGAGTAACCACCCTCCTTCCGGTGTAACCACCTCCTACTGCTGCCAGCTCCGCCCACCAACCCTCCCCCATCACCCTCTCCTCCCCTTCAGTCTTAGAGTTTCTGGTTATTTTATTCATTTACGTTTCATTTGTGTCTCCTGTGAGCCCAGCAGCGTTAGACCTCACGGCCCAGGGGTGAGCCACGAAGGGCACCGGGGCGGACCCCACTCGAGGGCCTCGGGTCGAAGCCTCCCTCCTCGTTCCAGCTGGACTGGCAGTGGAGACGTTAAGGCACAAAGGCAGGAACAGAGGCGGCAGCCGCATCTTGGACTCTGACCCAGAAGACACCTGGCGGTCCAGCAAGGAGAGAGCAGGCTCTGGACGCGGGGGGCTGGCCCGGGCTCCCGCAGACCATGGTAAAGACCCGCATGCAGTCAGCCACGCTGAAGCGCCGCCTCACCAAGCCCAAACAGCCGCTGGTCTGACCCGCAAACCAGGACGAGGGCCTCGGCCACGCTTCCCGGCAGGGGAGACGGGGAGACAGCGTGCAGAGCGCCGTTCTGGCTGCGACCCCGCCTTCGAGGCGTTGCCCGGACATAACCAGCCCAGCCTCAAGCCCCCTCGGTTAAAGGGGGCTCCTCTGCGGGGCCCTGTGGAGTGTTGCCTGACTCCCATCGGAGGAGAGGCCGGTTCAGATCTATCTTCAGCATCTTGTCCAGTGTTAAGAGGGACGGGACGGGGACACGCCGGGGTGACTGCACGCAGCGCTGCTCGAGTGGGCAGCCCAGGAGTCAGAGGGGCCTGGGTAGCAGGGGTCACAGCCACTCAGTACCTTCCTCTGGGCTGTTCTGGGTGCCACGTCTCAGCTGGCCGGGAGGAGGGGTCCCTGGCAGGGTCGGGAGCCCACCCTCCACCCTCCCGCGTCTCCCAGAGGCCCACATGCAGCCTCACGGCAGAACACCAGGCGTTCCCCCAGGCTGCCTCGGAGGACGGGGTCGAGGGTGCAGCCGCGGGCACACCGTACCCGGGTTCGAGGGTGCAGCCGCGGGCACACCGTACCCGGAGTCAAAGGTGCAGCCACGGGCACACCGTACCTGGGGACGAGGGTGCAGCCGCGGGCACACCGTACCCGGGGACGAGGGTGCAGCCGCGGGCACACCGCATACCGTACCCGGGGTCGAGGGTGCAGCCGTGGGCACGCCGTACCCGGGGACGAGGGTGCAGCCGCGGGCACACCGCATACCGTACCCGGGGTCGAGGGTGCAGCCGTGGGCACGCCGTACCCGGGGACGAGGGTGCAGCCGCGGGCACACCGCATACCGTACCCGGGGTCGAGGGTGCAGCCGTGGGCACGCCGTACCCGGGGACGAGGGTGCAGCCGCGGGCACACCGCATACCGTACCCGGGGTCGAGGGTGCAGCCGTGGGCACGCCGTACCCGGGGACGAGGGTGCAGCCGCGGGCACACCGCATACCGTACCCGGGGTCGAGGGTGCAGCCGCGGGCACACCGCACACCGTACCTGGGTCGAGGGTGCAGCCGCGGGCACACCGCATACCGTACCCGGGGTCGAGGGTGCAGCCGCGGCACACGGTACCCGGGGTCGAGGGTGCAGTCGCGGGCACACCGTACCTGGGCAGTGTAGATGTGCCTGAGTTTAGTGCAGACCTTCAGCTACCTCAAGTCCTTTCCCATTTCATTCCCCCGCTCAGCTCCGAGCCCAGTTCTAGGTGGGCTTCCCCAGGGTCACTCTCCTCCCACTCAGGCAGACAGGCAGCCCTGTGGTCCGGCCATCCTGCCACTCCAAGCAGGCTCCAGGCTCGTCCTGTTCTCCAGGCAGGGGACTGGTGCGTGGTGGACCGGGACCAAGTGCCTCAGAGCCCTTGTCCTGGCCAGGGCGCAGCCCACTTCCTGCCTCCTCATCTGCCCTGCTGTGGCTCTTCAGGGTTGCCAGGGACAACCCATCCGCCAGACCCAAGTCGGGCACTCAGCGCCTGGCTGCCCACTCTGGAGCCTGACCACTTCCAAGTGGCTCCCGGGGATCCCCATCAGACTGCCTACTGTAATGGGATTTGACTTTTAAAAACCTCTGACCAAAACCCAGAAATTTCCCATATCAAGAGGTTCCTGCTGCTGGTTCACTGCCCGATGCCCACAACAGCCCATCAGGAACCAGACTCAACGCAGGCCTCCCACGTGGGTGGCAAGACCCCAGCCACTTGAGCCGTTAGCAGCGGCCTCCCGGGGCCCCCACAGGCAGGAAGCTGGAACCAGGAGCCAGTCGGGCAGCCAGCCCTGGCCTGCCACTGGGGGAGAGGAGCGGCCCAGCCAGCGGCTTAGCACACACCTAAGGCACGAGATTCACTCGGGTACAGCCAGTGTATGTTTACTTCGGACGCCTGGGAGACAGCTATTGTTTTAAATAACAGACGCTTGCATTTAGTTCTCCTCCAAGAGGACCTCGGGGACACGGGTCGTTTATTAGGACTGGCGCCGTCTGACGTGGGTTCCCTGTGCGTGCGCAGCGCTGCGAGGGCTCCGCGGCAGGAGCTCTACTTCTTCCACTCGTTCTTGTCGTAGTCCCACTTGGCGGAGAAGCCCTGGATGGGGCTCACCTTCATGTCCAGCATCCTCTTGGTCTGCATGGCCACCCACTCCTTGTCGAAGGTGTGCGGGATGGGGCCGTACACTGCGGTTCAAAGGGAATCGTGAAGCCGCCCTGCACAGTGGTCCTGAGCCCACGCCCGGGGCCCCGAGCCCACCCATGCGGGCTTCTGTTCTAGGCACTCCCAGCTCTGACTTTTAATTATTCCTTTGTTGGTAAAAAGCTAAAAATACGTGAGCTGCAGGCAGCGTGTCTTCCACAGGCTCGTGTGCGGGCAGGGGGAGGGCCGCCTGCGACACAGGGAGGACGCTCACCCACTTAGGAGTCAGAGGCACAGCGACGCGCCTCTGCCTGCGCCCGGGGAACCCGCGAGACGCTGCGTGAGATGCAGGGCCAGGCCCGCCCAGGCCCACGCTGCGCCACGGTTCAGGAGTGAGTCCCTCTCCCTGCTGAACGAAGGCATCCTGGTGACGGGCGGGCAGGTGAAGACCTACTAGACCGCGTGCTGTGCGTGCTGTGTGCAGTACTCACGGCACAGCCACGACGGCCGCTCGCTCAGCCTCTCCGCACGTTCATCTCCCACCTCAGCTGGCCCAGCGGCCTCAGACACAAAATAACCCGACTCTCTGGCTCGAGGGCGGCGTGAAGGCCCCCGCGGTGCCCTGCCCGGCCCCCCGCTTCCAGGCTCCGGCCCCCTCCCTACTCACCGTAGTGCTTCTCCCAGATCAGGATGAGGGCGGTGAAGCCGATGAAGAACAGGGCCGTGCCCACGACCGTCTTCCACTCATTGGTGCCCCGGTTCATCTCGGCGAAGCTCTCGTTGAACTGAATGCGATACACTGTGACACAGGGGGGCAGCTGTTTGGGGCGGAGTGGAGTGCATCCACACCTCCTCACGCTGAGAACACCCCCACGGGAGAAAACACGGGCCAGGGCTGCGCGGCGGCAGGGGAAGCCTCTGCCTGTTCTCCAGCACCCCACAGCGGCGCCGTCGGAGCCCGGCTGCTCCCCTTCCCACCCAGCTTCTTCCCAGAGCACTCGGGAACGCACCGATGACGGCTCCGGAGCACAGAAACTGGGTCCCAGTCAGTCACCCGGAACCCAGCAGTGGCCCTCTGGGTAGCCAGTCACCATCACACACACACACACACACACACCCACACACCCCGCTGTCACTCCCCTCAGACACTCAGACACGCGCCCACAGTCACCGTCATACACACAGTCACCATCTCTCGCTCATACACACACACACACACACGTCCCACAGTCACGTCTCTCTCTCACACACAGAGACATGTCCCACAGTCACCGTCTCACACACACACGTCCCACTGTCACTCCCCTCAGACACGTGCCCACAGTCACCATCACACACACAGTCACCATCTCTCGCTCATACACACATGTCCCACAGTCACGTCTCTCTCTCTCTCTCACACACACACACACACACACGTCCCACAGTCACGTCTCTCTCTCTCTCTCTCACACACACACACACACACACTCACGCAGACACGCCCGAGCACTGGCCGCCCCGTGTGCAGTACTCACACTCGACCTTCTCGTCCCTGGTGAGGCTGCCCCAGGGGGCCTTCTCCTTCTCCTTCAGGGCCTTCTGGCTGGCAGACAGCTGCTTCACATGGGCCACGTCGGGCAGGGGGTAGTCACGCCGGTCCACGTAGCTCGGGAGAGCGTAGTCCTCGCTCTTCACAACGCTCCCTGAAACCAAGGGCTGCTGTGACCGCTCCACGGGGGAGCCACAAACAAGGACCGAGACTCGGCGGCCCCGGGCCAGCGCCGCCAGCGCCGCCCGTCACCGCGCCGGTCGGCCAGGGCTGCAGGGTGCCCCGGGCAGGAGATGCACACAGCGGGGCCTTTCTAGAAGGGATTCAAACTGAAGAACAAAACTGCGCGAAACTCTCTAAGGTTCCGAAACCAAGCAGCATGAAGACGCGGGACGGAGGTCAGCCCGGCCGGGAAGACCCCCGCCCCCCCTTCCCTGTCCCAGCGCCTGGGCTCAGCCCCTGCAGCAGCGATGGCCCGTGGACCGGCTCCCGCCACCGCGAGGGAGGCCAGGCGGAGGTCAGGCTCCGGGCTTCCTTCAGGCCCGGCCAGGGCCGCGCACGCATGTGCAGAGTGAGCGGGGGCGGAGCTGCTGCGTCCTCCGGGAATCACCCGGGAACAGTCCTGAGCTGTGCTCCTCCCAGGGACGAGCACCAGGGGCCGCGGGTCACCGGGCGCGGATTCGGCCCCTAGGAAATGCTGAGCGTGGTTCGGACGTCGGGTGCCAGAGAGCAGACCACAGACTGCTGCAGTCTCTCTTAAAACACGTAAATCGTGTCTGGCTCGTGCCCGGCACACGAGACCAACGTGCGGCACGGTCCACCGCGAGGCGGAGGGGTGGAGTCTCAGACCGACTGTGTCTCGACACCAACTCTGACTTCTGCCTGTCGTTTCTTACAGTCTGATTTACAAATAAAAACACTGTCTTTGAAAGCCTCCTATTTCAGGTAGAGAACCTGGATCTGCTTGTCTGATGGCACCCGATGCTGAGTGCCAGCTGACGCGGTCAACGTCACAGCTGCCCTTGGAAGGAAGGACCGCGCGGGCCGGTATTGTGCTCTTTCCTTTCTTGACCATTTCTGTTGTCCCTCCTTCTATGTTTCTTCCTTTAAAGACTGTTTCTTGTTCAAGAAAAAAAAAGCCTAAAGCATAAGCCCTTCTAAGAATAGGGAGGTTGGGCTGGCGCCGCGGCTCACTGGGCTAATCCTCCACCTGCGGCGCCGGCACACCGAGTTCTAGTCCCGGTCGAGGCACCGGATTCTGTCCCGGTTGCCCCTCTTCCAGGCCAGCTCTCTGCTGTGGCCCGGGAGTGCAGTGGAGGATGGCCCAAGTGCTTGGGCCCTGCACCCGCGTGGGAGACCAGGAGAAGCACCTGGCTCCTGCCATCGGATCAGCGCGGTGCGCCAGCCGCAGCGGCAATTGGAGGGTGAACCAACGGCAAAGGAAGACCTTTCTCTCTGTCTCTCTCTCTCACTGTCCACTCTGCCTGTCAAAAAAAAAAAAAAAATAGGGAGGTTGGCTCCTTAGGAAGGCAGCCAGGGTCAGGGACCCGTGAGAACTCCCGTGTGCTGACCGTGGAGGAGCCGCACGGGGCGAGCGCGTCAGAGAACGCGGCACCTTCTCACGTGCCTACCCGAAGCGAAGCCAAACCAACCAAAAAGCACTGGAAATGGACTGGCAAACCCACGGAGGCAGCGAATCCTGCCGCAGCCGGCGCCCAGGCTGCAAGTGCAGGAAGCGGCTCTGCTGTCCGGGTGACCAAGGTAACTGCCTTAGAGCTCACCCACAGCCCCGCGCCCCCTCCCAGCTCAGCCGCCACCCCACCCAGCCCCGCTGTCCGGGGTCACCCACGCCCCTGCCGCACCTGACCCTCCCCAGCCGCCGGCGGCAACCCCAGGCCAGGCTGCCCGCCCCCGCCCCCCTCCAGCTGGGCCTCCGCGCAGGGTCCGGGCCTCTGCCTTCTCCTCCGTGCCTGACGGCGCCTGCTGCAGACACACACGGAGGAGGGCACAGCCAGACCTGCGCCGTCCGCGCGGAGGGGGCACTTGCCAAGTGACGTGGCCAGGACGGAAGCGAGGTCCCTCGGGGAAGAGGCCCAGCCCAGGTCCCGCGGAGCAGCCCTCCTTGCTGGGAGGCGGGAAAGCAGGCGGGAGACAGGGGCGGGGCCGAGGCCAGCCGGCGGAGGCCGGAGCGGCCGTCCTGCCTGGACGCCGCGCCCAGACCCGGCCGCAGGCAGCATCACTTACCGTGCGCCCGCACGCACACGGAGGTGGAAATCGCCCGCCTGCCGACGAGGCTCAGCACCCTGGTGGCCAACATCCTGCAACACAAAGGACAGCACTTCCCCTGCGGCGACGGCGGACACGGGCACCCGGGCCGGCCGCGGCCGCTTCCGCCCCGCTCCGCCCCGGTGCCGTGCAGGCGCGCGCAGCTCCGGCTCGCGTCTCCCCGAGACTCGCCGCCTCCCCCCAGCGACACAAGCCCCGCCCGGCTCAAACACCAGCGAAGACCGATCAAGGTGACCGAAAAGGAAGCCACCGAAGCACCACGCCGCCGTGGGCCTGCCTTCTCGGGGGCCTGCCCGGCGGCAGCGGAGTGACCGGGATGACCCGGCCCTCCCTGGCCTCTGCGCCCCGGCTGCAGGACGCACTCCTCGGAGGACGGCGGCGCAGCAAGGGGTCCCGCCCCGGGGCAGCCAAACCTGCGCGTGACGTCGGGGCCGCCCTCGGCCGGGCCTCGCGCGCGGGCGCCGGGAGCCTCGCTCACCGCGGCCGGCGCGCAGCCGCCGAGCGGGCCGCGGGCGCCCAAGGTCACACCGTCCCAGCCCGCGGCGCGGCCGCCGCAGGCCAGCGGAGCAGGCCCGGGCGCTCGCGCCAGCACGGGGGCTGCGGCCCTGCAGCCCCTCGAGCCCCGAGCCCCCGCGGGGCGGCCTCAATGTCACCGGAGACGCAGGCCCACCGCCGTGTCCAGCGGGCGCCCGGCCGCCGGCGCGCAGGACCAACGGCCGCCGGCTCCTAGGCCGGCACGGCCCGCTCGCGGCCCGGCGCCCGCTCCCCGCGAGCCTCACCTGCCGGTACCGCCGACCCTGCTGCCGCGACCGCCCTCTACGCCCCGGCTGCCCGCGACCGGAAGAGAGCGAGGCCGCGCCGCGAAGCACCACGGGATGCAGCGAGGCCCCGCCTCCCCGCGCTGCGCAGAGGTCGCCGGGGAGCGGAAGGGGGCATGCGCCGCGAACGTCGTAAAAACGCCGGCCGGGCTGCTTTCCGGCAGGCGCCGGGCCGGGAGCGCGAGTGGAGTCCGAGGCGGCGCCGGCGGCGGCAGCGGCGGCTTCCCGGAGGCGTGAGCCCAGGCCCGAGCCGGGCCGCCTGCGGGGCCTCGCCGGCCCGTGGCCGTGCCAGGCGGTCGCTTCCCGCTCGTCCGCGTCCCGGTGAGGCACCGCGCGGCCGGGCAGCGGGCCCAGGCCTCAGCCGCGCGGCCGCGGCCTTCGGGGCCGGCCCGGGCTCAGCATGCCCGGGGTGAAGCTGACCACCCAGGCCTACTGCAAGATGGTCCTGCACGGCGCCAAGTACCCGCACTGCGCCGTCAACGGCCTGCTGGTGGCCGAGAAGCAGAAGCCGCGCAAGGAGCACCTGCCCCTGGGCGGCGCGGGCGCCCACCACACCCTCTTCGTGGACTGCATCCCCCTGTTCCACGGCACGCTGGCCCTCGCCCCCATGCTGGAGGTGGCCCTCACCCTGGTAAGCGCGGCCCGGGGAGACACCGGCCGGGGGGCGGGGGCGGCGGCGAGGCCGGTCCGCCGCGGGAAGGCGGGCAGGAGCAGACGCTGTCCCGTGCGCCCCACGGCTCCGGCTGAGAGGGTCCGTGCGGGACAGGCGGGCTGCGACGCCCCGGGTGCTCACCCCGGAGGGGCGGCGGTCGCTGGAGACCCCCCCCCCCCCGCGCCGAGGGGCGGGCGGTGCGGCGAGGCCCGGCGGGGGTCCCGGCCCGAGGGCGCCGGGCACAGCCTGGGGCTGGACTGAGTCGTCGCGCGGAGTTCTTGCTGTCGCTGGGCCGGGGCCGGGGACGTAGATGGAGCTGCCACACAGCCGCGGCGCCGCGTGCGCACCTGCTCCGCCGGGCCTGCAGCCGGCCCTCGCTGCTGTGCCGCCTGGGGAGCTCGGGAGAGGCGGGCAGGGGGCTGCCGGGGCCCAGAGAGGGGGCGGGCAGCGGGGGGCAGCCCTGGGGGGGACGGGCAGCGGTGGGACGCCCGGGGGGGGGACGGGCAGCGGTGGGCAGCCCTGGGGGGACGGGCAGCGGTGGGACGCCCGGGGGGGACGGGCAGCGGTGGGACGCCCGGGGGGACGGGCAACGGTGGGACGCCCGGGGGGACGGGCAACGGTGGGACGCCCGGGGGGGACGGGCAGCGGTGGGCAGCTCTGGGGGGGGACGGGCAGCGGTGGACGTCCTGGGGGGGACGGGCAGCGGTGGGCAGCCTGGCGGGGGGCCGGAGCTGGAAGGGCGGGGCGGAAGGCGCTCTGGCGGCAGCGAGGCCGGAGAGGGCAGTGGGCTGGAAGAGTAGGGAACTGGGGAGCACGGGGCATGCGGAGGGCAGGGCCAGGAGAGGGCGTGGGCAGTGTCCCACAGGGCCCGTGTCGCGAGGCCGGGGTGCTGGGCAGCTCCTCAGGGCAGCGGGAGCCACTCAGATTTGTGTCTGAGCGATGGCTCCAGCCTTCAGTCAAGAGTGTTGGGGAGGGGCCGGCACTGTGGGGCGGGGGTAAAGCTGCTGCCTGCGTCGCCAGCATCCCGTATTGGCACTGGTTCGAGTCCCAGCTGCTCCACTTCCAGACTGTTCCCTGCTGATGCACCTGGGACAGCAGCAGAGACTGGCGCCCATGGGAGACCCGGAAGAAGCTCCTGGCTGGGGCCTGCCCAGTCCTGGCCGTTGCGGCCATCTGGGGAGTGAACCAACAGGTGGAAGATCTCCCTCTCCCCCTCTCCTTCCCTTCCTCTCTCTCTCTCTCTCTCTCTCCCTCCCTCTGTAACTCTTTCAAGTGAATAAAATAATCTTGCCGGCGCCGCGGCTCACTAGGCTAATCCTCCACCTTGCGGCGCCGGCACACCGGGTTCTAGTCCCGGTCGGGGCGCCGGATTCTGTCCCGATTGCCCCTCTTCCAGGCCAGCTCTCTGCTATGGCCCAGGAGTGCAGTGGAGGATGGCCCAAGTGCTTGGGCCCTGCACCCCATGGGAGACCAGGAGAAGCACCTGGCTCCTGCCATCAGATCAGCACGGTGCGCCGGCCGCGGCAGCCATTGGAGGGTGAACCAACGGCAAAAAGGAAGACCTTTCTCTCTGTCTCTCACTGTCCACTCTGCCTGTCAAAAAATTAAAAAAAAAAATCTTTAAAAAAAAAACAGCTTTGGAGAGGGGGTACACCCAAGACCAGAGGCAGGGAGGTGGCTGACCACGCTGTGTTCCGTTGGCCTGGGGGAGGGGACGTGACCATGACACCTGTCTCTGGCTCATGGTCGTGCGGTTCCTTGGGGAAACAGGGAAACCGGCGGGGGGGTGCCTTCGCCTGAGGTGGTCACGTGAGGAAGTCCTGGCAGTGAAGGTTGAAAGTGGACATGGGGATGGACGGACATACGGGCCGAGACAGAGGTGGGAGCCCGTGGCTTCCCCATGACTGGAAGCCGTGAGAGCCCGTGAGCCTCGCTGGGGCCCTGCACGAGGGGAAGCCGCCCCGCCCGTGGCAGGTGTGTGGACGGAGAGTGACTGCGGGGGCCGCGGTAGTGCCTCCATCCGGGCCTGCGCCCGGCGCCACTCAGCCTTCTCGTCCCAAGTCCCTGCTCAAAGCTGGCCTCCTCCCGTACGCAGTGTGAGCCGTGCTTGAGAGAATTAACCATGCCAACGTGAGCAGTACACAGTGCGTTTGCATCACCATACACGGGTGTTCCCCGCGGAGCAGAGCTGCCTCCAAACCCTCACTGGGGAGGACGGGGCCCGGAGGGGACCTCGGCTCAGAACGCAGGCCGCGTGCTGCTGCTGGCCAGAGCCCGGGAGGGGGGGGGCGCTGCTCTGGGTGTGCCCCTGCCGCTTCCAGACGGCAGGCTCCCAGCACCGCCCCACACAGGCCTCTGGCTGGTGCATCTCGCGTCCAGCAGTGTCCGTGTCGGGCCAAGCTGGGCTCCGTGGGTCTCCTCGGCCGTGAACTCCACCGCCCCAGTGCTGTCCTGCTCGGCTGTGGCTCCTGGCTGTGGCCTGGCCCGACTCCAGCCGTTGTGGCCGTTTGGGGAGTGAACCAATGGATGAAGGATCTGTCTCTCCCTCTCTCTGTAACTCTTTCAAATAAATCTTTAAAAAATAAGTAAAACTTTCTTTTTAAAAAAATCGCCAAAGCAGCTGAGACGGGAGAGATGCCAGTGCAGTGCCAGTGGACGACCTCTAGGGGGCTTCGCAACTCGATCCTGTCTGAGCAGGTCGCATCCTCATTAAGCCGGTCAGGTGTTGACCTTTGGACTTAGTGGTGAGACCCTGGAGGCCGCGAGACCTCAGTGTGCGGAACCGAAGTCCACCGGGCTCTCGGCTGCAGGAGACGGCACCTCGGCCGGGCGTCTGGACCAGGCAGCTGGACCCGGCCTTGTTCTCCTGGCAGCTGGACCCGGGCCTTGTTCTCCAGGCAGCTGGACCCGGGCCTTGTTCTCCTGGCAGCTGGACCCGGCCTTGTTCTCCTGGCTGCCTGCTCTTCAGGGAGCCCTGTGCTGGAATGATTCTGCTAAATGGGGAAGACTGGCTTGATCTGCAGTCTGTCAGAGGCAGCATGGGATTCCTAAGGAGGCTTTTCATTATAATTTTCCATTTTAAAAAATCCATGCGTCTCTGGAGGCTTTTTGGGTTTTTTTTTAAGTACTTATGCCTATTACCTTATTTATCCTTATACCCTATGACGTAAGTAGCAAAGGAATTATCTCTAATAGCAAAAACCCATAAAACGTTAGGAGGAAAATTAACGTGGACCTGCTGTTTCTCTAAGCCTCTTCTGTGCTCCGGGGCGGCTCGCTGGGAGCCCTCAGATGGCCGCCTTCCTGCCTGCAATTTCAGGCCAGGACGTCCCCTCTGTGCCCCCGCCCGGCATCTCCCACGCCCCCCGTGCCCTCTCCAGGGCATCAGCGTGCCCGCCTGGGAGGGGGCACCGGCTCGGGTTCCCCTTCCATTTTCTCCGCAAAGCTCCTGCACAGCTGTAGCTCAGGTGAGGCCCGTCCAGCCCGCCAGCCGCGCGAGGCCTGTGAAGTCATTTGGTCTGGCTCTGCCGTGGCGACGGAAGGCCACACCTCAGTAAACCCCAGCAGTGTGGCCTCACGTGATGTTACCAATGTCCGGATGCCCCTGGCAGGAGAAAGGCCCCCGCCCGGCTCCCGGTCCCTCCACCCTGCGTGTCGCCGAAGGCAGGAAGGCCTGCAGCTTACCGCCTGGGGGTCTGGGTGCGTGGCAGGTTCAGGAGCGGAGCCCCTCTGGCCAGGCCCCTGCCCTTGCCCTCTCTATGGTTGGACTTGCGGTCACCACAGACGGCAGTGGTGCCTGGAAGACGACAGTGCTTCGCACACGTAAACAGCAAGCGTGCCGAGAGCCTCGTGGTGCCGCCCAGCGGGACGCGTGAGGCCTCCGTGCCGTCGGCAGCTCTGTGTATGTGAGGGACTGAACAAGCCAGAGGGCACTGGAGAGAAGGCGCCGGCCGGGCTGATGCCGCGGTGGCCACGAGCTCTCCCGCGTGAGCAACGCTTGGCTCGCAGATCTGTTTTCTTTGCTCGTTCACACAGGGCAGCTGCCCGTGGGCTTCCGCCGCGCGCCAGACCTGCCTGTGCAGCGCCGCTCGGCGCACTCCGTCTCCTCCTGTCAGCCTCTGTGTTCTCTCCAGCAGAGGAAACTCCTCCCCCCCGTTAAAGCCTGCTCACCTGGGAGGGCCCCACTCGAGCACCCACTTCTGGTTCCTGCTTCCTGCTAGTGTGCCTTGGGAGGCAGTGTGTGGGTCCCTGCACTTGCTGGGAGGCCTGCACTGAGTTCCAGGCTCCT